TTAAAAAAAGGGAGAGAGAAAAGAAAAAAAATTCCCCCTTCCTGCAACTTTGTTTTAATTACTACATGGTTTAAGCAAGCCATCATCTCTTAATAATAGAATAATTGTGCAAGTAGCTAGGTGGAGTCATTAATGGATAGAGCATTAGACTGAGAGTCAGGAAGACCTGAGTTCAAATACAGCCTCAGATTCTTACAAGCTGTGTGACCCTGAGCAAATCACTTAACCTCTATCAGCCTTAGTTTCTTCATCTATAAAATGGGGATAACTATTGCTATGTAAATACTAATGTCATTATTAACTGACTGCTTCAGTTTCCTCATCTGTAAAATAGGGATAATAATAGTACTTGCCTCGCAAGGTTGTCTCGAGGATAAAAGAGAAATTTCTGTAAAGTACTTTGTAAACCTTTAAGTACTATAAATGCTAGCTATTATTAATATTATTAACATGATTATCCTCACATGAAGAGTCAGCACCTCTCATCAGGTATATTGTAAGGAAATTGTTCATTTTTTTTAAGATGACATTTGTGGTTGACTTAGTATAGGGAAATAACTCCCTGAGAGAAGAACTCCTTCTAACAAAGCACATATGCACTATTCTGCAAGTTTTGGTCTTAGAGAACTGCCTAGGGCCACAGTCCAGAACTCCTAGTGGTTCCTAACAGCCTTTCAGGGCATCCATGCGGTGAAAACGATTTACTAGGATGTTTTAATTTCTACAAACAGTAAAAAAAAAATCAATAGATATAACCCACTTAAACAAACCCCTTTGGGGAGGGTCCTTAATGTTTTTTAGAGTACAAAGAGAGACCCTAGGCAGTTATGTGGTACAATGAATAGAGTGCTGGACCTAGAGTTGGGAAGATTCATTTTTTCTAAGTTCAAATTTGACCTCAGACACTTACTAGCTATGTGAGCCAAGGCAAGTCACTTAACCCTGTTTGCCTCAGTTTCCTCATCTGTAAAATGAGCTGGAGACAGAAATGGCAAATCACTCCAATGTCTTTGGCAAGAAAACTCCAAATGGGGTCTTGAAGAGTCAGACATGACTGAAATGAATAAACAACAACAAAGAGAGACCAAACTTTTTGAAACCAAAAGGTTTGAGAACTGCTAGCCCAGGACACTAAGAGATTAAGTAATTTGGCCAGGGTCATAGAACCAATATGTGTCAGAACAGAGACTTGAATCCAGGTCTTTCATTCTGGTCAATAAACACTACAATTTTATCAGTTTCATTTTTTAAAATATCCTATTGGGTTTGCCCATGTGACATTATTTATTTTGAATTTTTATCAAAATCATTCTAGTTCTGGGGAGGTGAATAAGCAGTTCCATACCAAGGTAGTTTACTGAATAATAAGCATTACATAATAGCATAGTTAACTATATTACTAATATATAATTGTTAATAATGGTGTTTATTATTATTCTTTAGCGACTAAAAGACAAAAGTACTTTCAGTATATTGTGTAGTTACCATGCTAATATAATTTCCAAAACTTTATACAAAGGGGAGTCCATCAGAAGCTCTAGTGCTAAATTCCAATAGTGTTAGTATTAAGATCAGTTAAATTCCTTAAGAACTCTGATCAATGAAACTTAGGAACTATCATCAATATAAGAACCAGCCATGATTCCAGGGGTCTCAAGATGAAACATGCCACCTACCTACTAACAGAGAGGAAACACACTCAGAGTGGCAGATTGAGACATACATATGTACATACATACATACACATATGTATACTATATACAAACAAGTTATAGGCAGGATAAATTGAAGACAATAAATAGATGGAAGGTAGTAGAATTAAGTGGGATCGGCACTACTGAGGTCATGACTAAGTTTTTTTAAAAATCTATTATATATAATATATATATATATATATAAAATTCCCACTCCTAAAAAGAAGAGCCCAGTCTTCCCATCAGTCTGATGATAGGCAGCCAATCAACAAACATTTAATTAATTAATTAATTAATTAAAATTTACTATGTGCTAGACACTGGAGACAAAAAACAAAGATGAAATAGACCCTGGTGTGAAGCTTACATTCTATCAGAGTAAGAAGGAAATTCGTATTGGAAAGCATGAATCAGGGAGAACTGGATTGAATTCCCACCTTTGACAAATATCTACGTGACTGTTAAATCACTTAAATCTCTAAACCTCAGCATCCTCATTTGCAAAACGAGGATAATAATAACACCTACCTCAGTGGATTGTTGTAAGGCTCAAATAAGATAACATATATAAAATACTCTGCAAACTTTAAACTGTTATGACAATGTCAATTATTATGGGCATTACTTAATTTTTCAGCTCCAAGGCAGCTCTCACATTCTAATCAGCAGAGCCAGTACTTCCCTATACTCATATAGAGGGTTTCCTTCTTGGGATACTCCCTACATCAAGGAAACCAAAAGTCTGGAACAAAATTTTAAAATCTAATGGATTTTTGGTAATTATTTACATACAGTATATAATATGCATATAATGTTGAACAGACTTTCAGGAATAAATGTTTCAAGCTTGATCATCTTCAATTTTGGACCCTTAAGGGCCTTTATTACTATTTTATTTTCCTTAGAGGCAAGTAGAGCTTTCCAAAAGCAAAAAAAGAAATGGCCAAATAGGCAGCTTGCCTAATTATGTTAAAGTCATCTATATTGTGAGTTTTCACTGACTTCTCAAAATTTTGGCCCACCTCTAGCGTACTTCTGTCACTTACAGTGTTAACTTCCTGCAGCACTCAAAAATGCCATATAATCAGAACTTATTTCTATTCCGAGCATGAGCAGCCACCCTATAAACTGAAAACAACATCAAATGTTAAAGGGGCCAACCAACCAAATGGAAAAACTGTCAGTGAGACTAGGTAGCTGTCACAAAAATCAAGCTTAAATTACCCAGGTTAGGCTCATGTGAACACTCAACAAATGACATCTGGGTTTTAACTTCAGACTTTAGTTTTTCTAATTATGTTTTACTTTTTTCAATGAGTAAAAACCTGACTTACTTCCCTCCCACCCATCACCCCTCTACATTGAGAATGATAACCTCATTCTTTAAAAGTTCTGCTTTTCTCTTACACAAAACTATGGAACCGTCAGATTAGCTTCCTCAGAAGAATGAAAAGCTTCTGAAATCATCCTGTCCAGAAGTTGTACCTGGTGGTCACTGGAGACCTAGGAATTATGTGGATCCTATTCCCACTCTTTTCTTTTTTTTTTTTTTTACTTTTTTTATTAATTTATTTTGATTTATCAATAATCACTTCCATATGTTTTTGAGTTTAAAATTTTTCTCCCCCTTCCTCCCTACCACTCTCCCCAAGATGGTGCATAATCTGACATAGGCTATACATTTACATTCATATTAAACATATTTTCACATTAGTGATGTTGTAAGTAGAAATTAAAACCAATAGGAGGAACCATCAGAAAGAGGAAACAAAACTCCACAGAAGAGAAAAAAAATTAGCAATTCAGCTTCCATAGTTCTTTCTTTGGTTGTGGATAGCATTTTCCATCACAAGGTCTCTGGAGATATCTTAGATCCTTGTATTGCCAGGGAGGGTTAAGTTTATCAATGTTTGTCATCATGCAACATGGCTGTTGTGGAGTACAACGTTCTCTTGGTTCTGCTCACTTCACTCAGCATCAGACCATACAAAAGTCTTTCCAGGTTTTTCTGAAGTCAGCCTGTTCATCATTTCTTATAGCACAATAGTATTCCATCACATTCATATACCACAACTTGCTCAGCCATTCCCCAATTGATGGGCATCTTCTCAATTTCCAATTCTCTGCCACCACAAAAAGAGCTGCTATGAATATTTTTGTACATGTAGGTCCTTTTCCCGTTTGTGTGATCTCTTTGGGATATAGCCCTAGAAGTGCTATTGCTGGGTCAAAGGGTATGCACATTTTTATAGCCCTTTGGGCATAGTTCCAAATTGCTCTTCAAAATAGTTGGATCATTTCATAACTCCACCAACAATGCATTCCATTCTTTTCTTCTTCCTACATTTCCTAGATTTGTTTAACAGAATTGTTGAATTGGCAAGATGTGTACCAGAGATGGGTAATTAACAGTGCTTGGTTCAATCAATCAATCAATCAATGACTATTTATTAGTCACCTTCTATGTGCCAGGCATTAGGGATAGAAATATAATAAACAAACCCTACTCATAAAAATAAAAACAACTTTGTACTAAAAGGCAACATGGAGTAGTGAGAAAGACCCAGATTCAAATCTAGCCTCCAACATATATTAGTTGTCCAAACCTGAGAAAGTCACAATTTCTCATGCTTCAAATGTTTATTAGTCTGTAACACTACAAGTTGCAGAAGAGGTGCCCATCTGTGCTGGTAGTAATACCTCACTGAGATAGTCTTATGCTAATGAAATCACAGATATTGCCTTAAAAAGTTCATTAATGACATATGAATAAGTCCATGGGTTTCTCTTCCTTGGTTTGTTTTCTGATATTCATCCCTCATTTGGAAGGCTATGGCCTAGAGTGATCTCAAGAAAAGCTCAACCATTAAACCCTCCATTTTCTCCCTCTTAATGTTATATAGAGCAAAATTCAATGAAGTAAAAAGCATAATTAATAGTGTACTAATCTCTTTTAGCACATTAACTAATCTCCATTTAATTGGCTTTGGAGCAAAAAATAATGCTCCCGGGGGCAGCTAGGTGGTGCAGTGGATAGAGCCCTGGATTCAGGAGGACCTGAATTCAAATCTGACCTCAGACACATAACACTAGCTGTGTGGCCCTGGGCAAGTCACTTAACCCCATTGACTAGCCAAAAATAATAATAATAAATAATAATAATAATGATGATGATGATGATGATGATGCTCCCTCCCACTATTTTAATACAATGCCCAGTCCCAACAGAAGTCCATCAATCAACAAGGACTTGAACTGTATGAATTAGAGTAAATGGTTTCTGTTGTTGTTATTGCTTGTACTTACCATATACCACATGCTTGGCCACTTGGGATCATTGAAGTAAGTAGACTGAGCACCACTGAGTTCAAAGTCCCTCTTTATCCTTTTTTTAACCACTTGCTGTTGTATCCACTCAACCTGTCAGAGAGGAGAACATGATAAATATTGACATTCCATATAGAACAGCAAGAAAAAGAAGGCTTGTTGGGGTCATTTACCACTGACCAAACACAGCCCCCCTTCCAGACTTCTTTCTCACAATTTATATGGAGCTTGGATTAGGGATTTTCGGGCAACCTAGTCATTTGCAGGTGGTATAGTGGAAACAACAGAACAGAGCTGAGTTCAAATCCTTGCATTGACACTGGCTATTTGTGTGACTCTTGGTGAGTTACAGAACAGATGTGAGCCTTAGATCCCTCATCTGTAAAATGAGGAAAATAACATACACACCAACAATCTCATTAGGTTAGTATGAGGTATTTTGTAAACCTTAAGCCTATTTTTAAAAAGCATATTTCACTTCTCTAAGACTATAAATTACAGAGGAGGTGCTAACCTGCATTGGTGAAGGGAGTTTCCTCATCTAGGAGAGTTAATAATAATAATAATAATCACAAATTCATAAATCATAAATCACTAATAAAATCATAGGTCCATTCCCTATTCTTATATTTCACTAACAGGTTATTACAAATTGATAATGTTATTAGTAAAAAAAAATTTTATCATTTATATATGTTTCTACGCCCTCTAATAAAGCTTATAAATCCTTTTATGATCATTCATAAGTTTTCTGTATTAGAAGAGTGGTGGCCTGGGCATCAGGAGACCTGGCTAGGTCTGGCTAGGTTATAACCCTACTCTAACGTTGGCTTCCCTTCTGCAGTTGGCTGGGGACTTATCCTAGACACTGAATCCTTGACATGGGATCTCAATTTCCTGGGGGTGGGAGACTAGGAGGACAATTCCTTTTATAACAGGCATAATTACCGAAACAGAAAGAAAGCAACCTCTGTGGGTTTTTTTCTCCCCTGAGTACCTTAGATCCATTTTAGTTTTAAAATTACCAACCAATCTGGAAAGCCTCTCCAATCTGCCATTTTGGTTTTTTTTTTAAAGTGTCCTTTTGTTAGATTTTTCCCCCTGTCAAGAGCTAATTTAGTCACAATGCATTCAAAAGATTAGTACAACCATTACCTAGCCCTACTTCACCTCAAAGAGAAAAGGGGAGGAAGAAGCAGAAGCCCACTGTTCAGTGAGTCTGGCTGTACTCATTCAGGGAAGTTTTTAAGACTTCATTGTCTGCATAATTGAGGCATTAGATGGGGGAAAGAGGCCAAGGTACTGATTAACAGGTTAAATTACTACATGCTCCAAATACAAGGCAAATAGGATATTAAGGCCCTAAGCAAACCGCAGCCCAAGCTACAAGCTGCATAAGAGAGAATGCATTCACAGACATTCTCTTTCTTATTTAATTCAAAGAAACATCTCAAACTCCAGTTCAAAACAGAGATAGGGACAAGACCAGGGGTGGGGAACCTGCAGCCTTGAGGTCTCAGGCTGCAGGTTCCTCGCCCCTGGACTAGACCTTTGATTTCATTGGTATAATCAATAAACTAGCATTTATTAAGCACTTATGTGCCAGGCATTGTGCTAAGTGCTAGGGATACAAAGAAAGCCTGGGGCGGGGGTTAGGGGGGTGGGAGGGGAAGTCCCTATTTTCCAGGCGCTCACAATCTAATTGGAGAGATAACTTGGAAACGATGCATAAACAGGGAATATACAGGAGAAATTGGGGAAACCATAATCTCACAGGGAGGGCAACTAGGTGGTGCAGTAGATAGAGTAGTGGGCCTGAAGTCAGGAATACCCATCTTCCTGAGTTCAAATCTGGCCTCAGACACCGTGTGACCTTAGGCAAGTCACTTAACCCTGTTTGCCTCAGTTTCCTCATCTGTAAAAGGAGCTGGAGAAGGAAATGGCAAACCTATCTTTGTCAAGAAAACCCCATATGGGGTCACAAGAGTTGGACATGAGTGAACAACAATCTCCCAGGGGAGGCATTAAGGTTAAGGAGGACTTGAAAGGCATCTTGCAGAAGAAGGAATTTTCACTGAGCCCTGATGGCAGCCAGGGAAGCTAAGAGTCAGAACTCCCTGTGAGGAAATTCCCTCTCCCAATACAGGTCAGCACCTTCTCTTCATCTTATAATCTTAAAAGTTGCCAAGAACAGCTAAAACAGAATTTGAATCAGTTTTCTATCAATTAAGCCAGGAATTCCCTCTAATCTCTATAATGCAAACACTTCATTCTCCTAGCTAGGTGGTGTTACACATAGTTCTGGACCTTCCAGAGGAGGAATTGGGAAGGTTTGGCTTAGAGTTTCACCTCTGATACTTATCTGTGTGACAGGCCACAACTTTCCTCAGCCAATCATTTCCTATTCTATAAAATGGGGATGATAGTAAACGGCAGCACTTACCTCCCAGGGTCCTAATGCAATGAATAGTTTATGGTTCCGGAGCTCACGGCTCTTTAAGTAAATATTGCAACCTGTTTGTGGTTAAGACCACAGCTCAGCATTATACTTGTGGCTTCACTGACAGCTCATTTTACCCAGATAATGGATCTGAATAAACAAATTGGAAATCATGTTCTGGCAATGGACTCTGCGTCTTCCCCTGTGTCAACTTGTACTAAAAATCTCTGCTTTGTCCTCTTCTCACCCCTTCTCCACCACACCCTTAGCCCCCTCTACCCTCACACTTAGCAACAAAACACCAGCTACACAATTGCTCCTATTCTTACTACTACGGCCATTCGTCAGAAATGACCCAGGCACTGAAAAGCTTTATTTTTTTTTTCTATCTGTGCCCAAACTGTGTATCGCGGAGCGACATAACATTTTTGTAAAGCATGCCTTAGGAAGCACATTGTCATCAAGAGAGACAACTTATTCTTCAATAATTACATTATAAATAACCTATGAAAATCACCTGAAACTCTCCAATGCTGGCCTCATAAAGTTTAAAATTGTCCTATATTGTTGTTGTTTTCCCTTAAGAAGAACAACCCTTAGGTTGTTATAGCCCTCCATCCTACTGGTTAGAGACACAGAATATTGGACTTGGAGTTAGGAAGACCGGACTTTACTTCCTACTGTTGACGCTCAGCTGTGTGACCCTGGGCACATCTCTCAACCTCATTCACCCTCGGTTTTCTCATCTGTTAAAGGTTAATAATGCTGTTGCTATTTACCTCATGGGATTATTTCAATGATAAGGCAATACAGGGTGTCCCAAAGGTCTTAGGTGCAGTTTTAAGCCGTGAGAGCTATTTATTTTTCCTTTCAAAATGTTTAAATCCATTTAAGAAGGCCCTCCTCTATCCACCCCACCCCCACTCCCCAGCCACTAAAATTAATTAAATGAGGGTGGAGGTTTGGGTAGGAGGAAGTTGGGAGGGGGTGGCCATGAGTTATAACCTTCCTTTTCAGCACACCAGAAGCAGAGGTAGAGTCAAGGAGAAGGAGAAGAAGGGGGCCAGGGGCTCTGGATCTGGGCAGTGGGCTGGCTGGACTAGAATGAGGGCTGTGACGTCTCCTCTTCCCTATCTGCCTCTGTCTTCAAAATGATCCTTCTGCTCCAAGTCCATCCCAAACTATTCCTTATCTGTCTCCTTTCCTCCAGCACCACCATTTTTTTTCCTGCTGCTCCCAGGCTCCAACCTCTTCAGGCTCCTTTCTCCCCATCCAGGTGGTTGTTAATTAAGCTATTAAAGCTTAAAACTGCACTAAGACTTTTGGGATACCCTGTATAGCATGTGTGAAGGCCTGAGTAAATGGCAGTTATTATTACAGACAAGATTATCAGAAACAAAACAGTAATTGTCTTAGGAAGCATTTTGTATTTTTGCATTTCACTAGACACATTTTTGTCTGAGAAAGATTTTAGACACTGACACTACACCCACACTTCCTAGTAGATCAGGGGCATGGCTTTCCTTTCCTAGTTCCAAGTTTCACCTTGACAACTACAATAGCCTCTTAATTGGTCATTCTGTCTTAAGTCTCACCCCATTCCAGTCGATCTTCAAAACAGCTGCCAAAATGCTTTTCCTAAAGAGTAAGTGTGCCCAGGTCATCCCCCTCCCCCCTTACTTACTAATCTGAAAGGGTATCCTATTACCTCTAGTTTCAAATATGCACTCCTCTGTTTCATATTCACAACTCCACCCCTTCCTATCTTCCCTAGTCTTCTTTACACATTAGAGCTAGGTCCCAATTAATGTAAATAATGAAGCCTGTGAAGTGTTCCTTTCACATAGTTATCCCTCCCACATCGCTGTGGATATATCGATATATCACTGGTTGGCATAAAAAATTAAATGGCAATTTTGGAGGAGTTTTGCAGAAGACGAAGATGACGTGTGAAGGCCAGCAGACAACATAGAAAAAACTTAGAAACTCAAAAATGCATGAAGTGCATGTATGGTATTGTATAATAACCCAAATTTTACAATAAGGTACTGTAAACACCCCATAAAAGAAAAAGAAAAAAAATCAGACCTTCTCCGGCATGAAAAGAGGGACAACAATTTTACACGGATTTTCCAGATCACAGGAGTGCTGCGCCCCTAAGCCCCTCAATGTGGAGGGAATAACTGGATTTGAATTCACACTGCATATTTCCATGGGGCTGGAGCCAGTGACCATATTTAAATCATTATAACTTTTGAGTGGTATGGATCTGAATACATACAATCATTTCAAAGAATTCATAATTCACACTACTCAGACCCTAGCTGCACTGTATTCTACACATGTTAACAGTCTAGACAAACTGCCCTACTAACGGTTCCTCTTGTACAACATTCTATCTCTTCTCCTTTGCACTGGCTTCATCTCAAGCCAGATATTTTCTCCCTCCTTGAAGTCACCTTTTAAATCCCTGACTTCTTTCAAGATTCAGCTTAAGTGCTGCCTTTTCCTGCCCTTAGGCCAAGCAGCTGATACAAAGCCTTCCTCTCCAAAGTGCATATATTCTGAAAGTATCTATTTATACAAATGTTGTTCTCCCTCATTAAAGCTCCTTGAGGGCAGGCACTGTTGTTGGTGGGGTTTTTCTTTGAAT